AAAAAGCCTCGTGGAGTAGGATTTGGGGACGGGCATATTGAGAATTGCCCCTGAACGTGTGTGGAGGCTGGTGTGAGATCCGGAATAAAGAATTGCTGTTTGAACCTACAAAGCTGTGTGGTGGCTCGTGATTCTGTGCCAAGCCGAGACATTGGCATTTGGCATTCCACTATGATTTCTTATATCCACTGAGTCAACAAGTTACTTATTTTGAAAGTTTTAAATCATGACTACAAATTAATTGATACTCCCCAGATTGTGATGTAGTATCCCTTAAATCTGGGCACATCACAGTGACTGGTCTTCTGTGCTAGCTTTCCATTGCTATGTCAAAATTTAATCAGCTTATGAGTAGGTAAAATTTATTCTGACCTGTAGTTTCAGAGGTTTCAGTCCATGGTTGCTTGGTTCTATTGTTTTTCTGGGCCTGTGGCAAAGCAGTTTATCATGGTGAAGAGTGCAGTAAATATATTCACCCCATGGTATCTGGGAGGTAAAGAGGGAGAACGGAAGGGACTACGATACTAATATTCCATTCAAGGGCATGCCCCCGATGACCTAACTTCATTCCATGAGGCCGCATTTCTTAAAGGCTCTACTACTTCTCAATATTGCCACAGGCTCGGGACGAAGCTTTCAACATATGAGACTTTGGAGGACATTCAAGATCCAAACTATAGCATCATCTAATATAACATGCAGTATATGGCAGAAGTGAAGCTATGTAACTCCCAAGACAGGTCAAAGCAGTTCCTATGTGGTTTCCTGGCACACTGGTGTTGGGGCCCTGATTCTCAAGTACAGAAGTCCTTCTACCCTAATGCAGTCATGTGGAAGGAAGCCCCAATTAACCCACATACACAGATTACTTGAGTATGTCCCCATGTAATGGACTGAACTTTGTCCTTTCAAAATTAATTTGTTGAAGCCCTAACCCCCAGTGACTCTCTTTGGAGATGGGCTTTTGGGAGGTAATTTAGGTTAAATGAGGTCAAAGGGTGGGTTCTAATTTGAAAAGACTGGTGAAATTATAACAAGAAGAGCAGATACTCATCCCCACACCCCAAGCATGTACTGAGGAAAGGCTGTGAGCACACAGTGGAAAGGGGCAGTCAGAGAGTTCTCATAAAAACCTGATTATCTGGCATTTCTTATCTCAAGACTTCTGGCCTTTAGAACTGTGAAAAAAAAAACTAATTTCTGTTGTTTAAGTCACTCAGTCTATGGTACTTTGTTACAACAGCCCCAGCTGATCAAGCTACCCAGAGACTACACAAAGAAAAAGATCCTTGATCAGCTCCTTCCTGTCCACTTCAAAACTAGCCATCAATATCAGAAACTACATATGTGACCCCAAATCAGAACTGCTCAAATGATTCCTTCCTGTATTTCTGATCCACAGAAACTCTCAGAGAAAATAAAATGACTGCTTCTATTTCTGGCTGCTAAGTTTTGGGGTAACATGTATCTGTGGATGACGGGAATGTTCAGTGGGCAAGATTTGTACAAAAAACTGTGAAATGTGATTTCTGTTTATTAACACATTTCTGTTTATTAACCCTAAGTGAAGAACATAGCGCTAGAAAGAAAATATAGAGCTAGAAAGAAAATTAGATTATTTGGAAATGAAATAAAACTAGGAGAATAGAAAGGCCATCACTCATAATTATCCAATTTGGATAAGATTATATTTGATTATTATCTGTTTTGGTGGTATCTTGGGAACTCAGTATTATTTTAATAGAACATGCCTGAAGTTGCTGACTTCATATTAATTTAAGATCTGATTTATCCAGCTTAATGAAGGCTTTGTATAGTATATCATGTAACCATTATTTTGCTTACACTATTAGCACAGAAAAAGAAACAGATTATTTGGATTATATCTAAGTGTCCTTTAGGTACAAATGGGATGAGACTTACTGCTTATTAAAGTATCCAACCCTAGCAGAAACCTGATACTGATTATTCTACATTATAAAAAATATCACCTAAATAATTGCCTGTTAAGGAAGGTGTTTTAAAGTAAATAAATTCAAGTAATAACTTTCGCTGAAAAAGGAAACACAATAGTTAATATTTATTATTCTGATATAGCTTTCACAGAAACTTTAGAGGATTCTGAGAACATTCTGAGAATGTTCATCCAATAATCCACACGTAAGAGAGCAATTGCTCTGTTGGAAAGAGGAGAAATTATGGAACCAAATTTGAAATTGCTTTAAATCATTACAATAAAGTCCTGAAATGAACCAGCCCACCCCTTGATGAGCACACTGGTGTCTATCAGGTCACTAGGGTGTGCTAGTCTACTCTATATGTAGCATTTATCCCCARATTCAGTGGGATCAGTTCCAAATATACACAAAATTTAAAAGTATGACAAGGAAATCTAAAGTAACAGGCTTCCATATCTAATATTTATAAAACTCAGAGAAGGTGGAATAGTAACAAAAAAATTATTCCAAATGAGAATTTAGAAGTCATGATATGGTAGTTAAACTGATCCAAGCAACTTAGCGAGACCCTGCCTCAGCAATAAAAGAAAATAAAATCATGGCATTTGCAGGGAAATGGATGGCATTGGAGAAGATAATGCTAAGTGAAGTTAGCCAATCCCAAAAAAACAAATGCTGAATGTTTTCTCTGATATAAAGTGACTGACTCATAGTGCGGTAGGGAGGGGGAGCATGGGAAGAATAGATGAACTCTAGATAGGGCAGGGGGGTAGGAGGGGGTTAGAGAGGGGGCAGGGGATTAGCAAGGATAGTGAAATGTGATGGACATCATTATCCAAAGTACATGTATGAAGACACAAATTGGTATGAATATACTTTATATAAAACCAGAGATATGAAAAATTGTGTTCTACATGTGTAATAAGAATTGTAATGCATTCTGCTGTCATTTATTTTAAAAAATCAATAAAAAATAAAAATTAAAATTAAAAAATGGGCTGGGAATGTGGTTCACTGGTTCACCTCTGGATTATTCCCTGGTACCAAAAAAGAAAAAAGAAAAAAAGGAAGGTTAATTGAAGGAAATTGGAAATTCTAGGGAGAAATTCTGAAATACAGTATTTTGAAAATTCAAAGGGGTTTTTACGTAGAACTATCAAGTTCATAATGATTAAAAAGCCTTAGACTTATAGCTGTGCACACTTCTACCCTTGGCCTCCAATTCTTAAGTCAATGGAATTAGCAATTCAATATAAACCTATATAACAATACATATTACTATGTAATGACCATTATTATAATCATTGGAAACAAAATCAAGGAAAATTCAAACACTATGTATCCTAGGTTAAAGGTTCTTACTTTCTTAATTTGTTTGTTTTTGGTGGTGGGCGGGATTGAACTCAGGCCTTCACGTGTGCAAGGCTCTTATTTTACTTCTGAGCTACATCTCCAGCCCCCAGGTTCTTAATTTTTTTGTTGTAGGTTTTCTTCCCCTTTAAAGGAATTTATAACACCATTTACCTGTAAATGAACAATTCTCTTAAATATATCTTCTCTCATGCTCATCTCAATATCAAAACGAGAAAGTCTTTTGTCAGCTTCAGTACTTGCTGCCCGTACTTCTTTGTCAGAGGACACATGCTGAGGGAAGTCTAGCATGGTTCTTTCCACTGTTGATAGAGAAAAAACACTATGAATACACTGGACCTGCCAAATCAATATTAAAGCCAAATACCTCCTGCCTAGATTAATGATTATGCTGATGTAAGTCTTTCATTTTATAGTTTCTGCAAAGATTTCTAAGGCTGTCAAGAAACAACTAATGCAGGACTTGGCTGTTCCACTTGGCATCAACATGAACAGGAAGATGCACTGTGCACTTATCAAAATATTTTTAGGGTATAATTTATTAACTGGAAATGTATCAAGATAAAGCCATGTTTCCTATGCTGAGGCATCTTACGTTCCCTCCTTGGGAAGAGGGAACAGGATACATAAAAAGAGAACAATAGAGGACAGAACCTACTGGTTGTCAAAGGAATGGAYACTAAATCAGAGGCAGCAGCTCTTGAAGGCTGGGCACTATATGCTACAGAGAAGGCTGGACCTTGGAGGAGGACCGGCTCAGGGTTGGAAAAGTAGAGACTGCAACCTGGGGTCTGGCAGAGACAAAGCATGTTCAAGAAACAAGCAGATCAATTTAGCAGGATGTGGTTTTCTCAAAATAGAACTTACCACTTTTTTTTTTCTTTACTATAGTCTTCTTAGAGAATCTAATCAAATTATGAACCTTATGCCAAATGTACACAGCACACAGCATATAAATATTAAAATACTCTTATAATTTTAGAGAATTCCCTGAAATCTAAACAGACGATAAGGCTGAAAACCATCAAGTAAGCAGCTAGATACTGGGAGATGTTCCTATTAAACAATGATAGTTTGGTGGGGCAGTTAGCATCATACGTTGAAATTGGTTGTTGGGATTATCATATATTTACATATTGACTTTAACTGGGAAAAACTCTGATTATGAATAAAATAATCAATACTATAGAACAAAACTGAGTAGGTTATAGTGATGTTTGTGGCTATGCTGTGACAATGAACACATTTTGATTATCTTCACTAATTTGCAGACACTATGAAGAGGTAAAATTTACACATGTGATATAGATAATAGAGCTATCCTTTACACACAAAGAAATAGTACAAACAAGGTGCCTCACTTGTATCTGTCTTCTTAGAACACTGTTAAAATAAAGCTGTTAAAAATACCTGCCAGAAATAACGAATAAATCCACAGTATATATTTTTAAAAATCAAACTGTGAAATTTTATTTTATTCATTTTTTTTTTTTTTTGGTACTGGGGATTGAACCCAGGGGCACTCAACCACTGAGCCACTTCCCCTGCTCTGTTTTGTATTTTATTTAGAGATGGAGTCTCACTGAGTTTCTTAGGACCTTACTAAGTGGCTAAGGCCAGCTTTGAACTCACAATCCTCCTCTCTCATCCTCTCAAGCAGCTGGGATAACAGGCATGTACCACCATACCACCAAGAAATAGTACAAACAAGCTGCTTCAATCATATCCCGTCCTCTTAAAACACTGTTACAAATAAAGCTATTAAAAATAACTGCCAGAAATATCAGAATAAATCCATAGTGTATATTTTAAAAAAATCAAACTATACAACTATGCAATCATATTTTAGGGTTTGGTTTAATATGCAATTTTATGTCTGTTGGCTAAGGAAAAAATGGAACAGAAGACTTAACTTTTAAAACAGACAGCATTGGTTTAAGTGATACAGTTCACTAAATAGTTGCCACTTTGGTTTGCTTTTAAAAATTAGCTCAAAAAGATATTAAGAAGGAATCAAAATTGTCCAAGAACTTAATTGAGTAACATAAAATGTAGGAACCTAAAACCAGAAACATATTCTTAAACAAACAATAAAGCTGAAAACCATTTCCTTCCTTCCTTTGTCACAAAGACTTGGAACAAGACTTATGTTCTCCTTGCCAGACTATAAACAATGCAGATGCCCAGTCCCTGGCACTAGACTAATGAGATTTTAATGGCTACTGTGAGGTTAATGAACTCTCAGAAAATACATGGACAAGAAAAGGTTGTTTTTTTAAAAAAAGTCTACCCTCAAACTGAAAAATTCTGATAATTAATCCACAAGACTTTTTGTTTTCCCTGTTGGTTTTATACCAGTCAAATGCATTACTAGGCAGGCACACCATCCTGGCTACAAATGATTGAAGACTGTGGTAGGCACCTGGACCAATGATAACAACAAACCACATAAAGGCAGAAGACACACATGAAATTACCTGCTGGAAAAGCTCTGCTGAATAGGAACCAACTCCGTCCCTTTGACTTTGACTAAGAAGACCAAGCAGATCCTTTCATTCAGAAGTTTAAACTCAAGACTTATAAGATGTAGTGGCCATTACTGAGAGTGGAACAGTTGGTAGTGGTGGTAGATATGGAAACAAATGCAAGATAAGAGAAAATAGCCAAGACCTTATTACAGAGGGACACAGGGTAGAGAACTCTAGGTAATGAAGAGTTAGTAGGGGCAAAGAAATGATGAGGTCACTAGGACTGTGCTGGATTCTGAATCTTTATGATATCCACATCTGCAGCTGTTTTATATTCTCTTTTGACTCCTCAATAGACAGTCAAGTTGTTTCACATTATCCTACAAAATATGTCCAATTCTTAAAAGTAACCAAAGTGCACCTTCATTCCTTATAGCCTAAGGCTTTCATACATTATTAAAATAATATATGTTCAGTGCAGAGAAAAAATAAAGAAATGCATAAAGAAGAATGCTAAAATCAACAGTAAATCTCTCACCCAAAACATTAATCACTGTGATAGTTAATTTGACTTTATTTTTTGGCATCAGGGATTGATTTTATGTGTTATTTGATGATGTGACTTTTGATGAGACAAACATTTAATTGGTGAAGTTGAAAGTAGACTGCCCTCCAGAATGTGGGGAATCTTGTCCATTCTGTTGAGGGCCTGAACAGAACAAAAAGGATGGCTTCTCTAGCAAGGGAGAACTCTTCAGCAGACTGCCTCAGATTTCATCTACACAACTGGCTCTCCAGGGCCTTGGGCTTGCTGGTTCATTCTCCAAGTTTCAGACTTGCCACCCTCCCAAGTCATGTTGAGTCAATAACCTATAATAATCTCTCTTTCTATACACACATACACAAACACACACGCACACACACCCTACAAACACACACAGGAACACACATCCTATTGGTTCTGTTTCTCTGGACAATGCTCACTAATAAAACTATCATTAAATTTTACTTATTTCTCTTTTAATTTTCCTTCTGTGTGCTTTTCTCCTGTCTTTAAACATTGCTTCTAACTGTAATTGTAATTTCTACAGAAAGTTATAGAGGATGGATGGGTCATAATTTATATAGCCATCAAATTGTGACTATAAACCCASAATTCTATTGGTTGACACTTTGGGGTTTTTTTGAGCTTTTGCTATAAAAGTGCCTATTTATACATTAATTTATACAAAAATTTTGTCTGTATTTGATTATTTTCTTAGAAAATAATTCCTAGCTGTGGCACTGCTGGGCTAGAGTATAAAATTCTTTTTCTTTCTTTCTTTTCCTTTGTTTTGGTACTGAGAATTGAACCTAGGGGAACTTTACCACTAAGCTACATTCCCAGACTTTTATATTTTTTATTTTGAGACAGGGTCTTGCTAAATTGCTAAGGCTGGCCTTAAGCTTACAATCCTCCTTGCCTCAGCCACTCCAGTTGCTTAGATTATAAGCATGTTCTACCACGGCTGGCTTAAGGTATGGAACTTAAAAGTTTTGATATTTATTGTCAAAATGGTGTCCAGAAAACAGTGTAATAAGAGTGCACAGTTTATAGCATTTTTGCCAATATAATAAAGTGTATAAATCTTAGGCAATTTAATTTTTGTTTGTTTTTTTAATTTTAAAATTTTATTATTTTGCGTTTTGTATATTTTCTTAGGCAATTTAATTCTAAGCAACCAACCATTATATACAACCCATCTCTCATAAAACTAGAAATCTGACTGCCAAAACTGAAAGCATAAAATGGTTTTAGATGTACACAAAAAGGAAATACAGATATGTTTGTTCATCCTACCCACCTATGTACTTCACTTCTACGTCCGCCAGCACCTGTAAACAGTTCTCATAAGTTACTTCTTCCACGTTGAGCATTCCAACAGCATCGTACACCTGTTTGGTCTGTACAATGAGTTCCTCAGTTCTTGTTTTAATTTGCTCTGGTGAAAGATCCCATCTTAAAACATTTCTGCCAGCTGCAGTATAGGAAGACACTGTCTGAAGGGAAGATGTCTCTTCTCTTCCTAATGTCATTCTGAGTAAAATCCTGGAACCACCAACTCTAAAAAGAATCAGAAAAAGAACAGAGATAAGTTATTTCAAATGTGTACTATAAAATTAAAGTTAAATCAGAGACATTTTTTAGAAAACAGATCACATTCTCTGAGATGAACATATGTACACAAAACTAAATGCTCTGGTGTTTTTATTTTTGCATAATTATAGTTTTAATGGAATTCACACTGTCCAGACACTGAATTGCTTATGCAATGAAATCATAGAAAAATAAAATTAGGTATTAAGGACATGATAACTGTCCTCTATAAATTAAGCTAAGTCTTATCTTTGCTAATTTCTACCTACTATGTATATAGACTCAAAAAAATTTTGCAGGTTTAGCAAGTAATCATTTGAGAAATTCTGTTTTTTATACTGAATGCCAAAATTTTCTCAAAATTTTACATAAATAATTATTTGAATTTACATTATTTATGTAATTAATTATTAATTTACATTAATAATAATTTGAATTTATTTGTGGAAAATAATCTCTGGTATAGCTATTAATTATAAAAGAAAAATCTATTATTAAGAATAATGATACTTTAAAACACTATAATATTAACATTAAACAACAATAATAATATTGGTGCTGTGAGTTTATCTTTCTCACCACCCCCTTTCTCTCCATTACCCATGCAATCCCGGCTTACTTCAGAGCTTATAAATACAAAAATAAAAATATAAGTGTGTATTTAGGTACTGTTTGAAATGCTTTTCAGGTAGGTTCTACTCAGTCACTCAGTCCTTCAACAGCCTCATGAGTTTTATACTGTAGTTATTCTTGTTTTACTGAAGAGAAAATTAAAATAGTCGTCAACCTAAGACCACACAGCTAGTGAGTGGTAGGGTGGGAGCAAGGATTAAAACCGGACCGTACAGATCTGGAACCCACACTCTTAATTATCATACTAAATTTCATTCCTCCTATCTTGTAAGATGTAAAAACAACTTTATGGGGGTAAGAAGAGCATTATTCCCTTTCTAACAGATGAGGCAGTTGAGACTCAGAGAAGCTAAGTAACTTTTTAAAGGTCATTTGTCCAAAGACTATTTCTGAATATGTACTATACGTTGTCACTGTGACAAGCACTGAAGATAAAATGACAAACTGACTGAGACGCTGCTACTTTAATTCAGCAGAAGAGACAAATGGATAAATATGCTCTTTTGAGATAAGTGCTATGATGGGGTAAGTAGAGGGAACTCTGAAAAGTCACAGCAGGAATCCATTCTGGTCTTGGGATGGGGAGAGGGTGTTAAGGAAGATTTTCTAGAAGGAGCAATGAATGAGATCTGAACACTGTGTAGGAATGATCCAAAGGGCAAAGGCTGTAGGAGACAGAAGGCTGAAAAGGTAAATAGGGGTTAGCAAATGAGGAGCTTTAGGAATCACTGAATCATTTATCCTTGTTTTCTGATTTTGGTTTGTTTTTATTTTCTTGCAGTGCTGGGGACTGAACCCAGGACTTCACACATGCTAGGCAAGCAGTCTAGCACTGAGCTACATTCCCAGCTAAATCTCCAGCCTTTTCTTATTCTGAAAGCCAGGACTGGGACAGGAGAGCCATTTCAAGGTTTTAATCAGGTGAGAGATAATAATAAGGTTTGCCTTTTAGAGAAGTAATTYGAATTATAATGAACTAAAAGATGTGTAAAAGGTCATTCCAGAGAAAACTTGTCAATGTATTTGGGGCATATGATTAAGGGATACTAAACTAGGAAATAGGGGGAACTGGAGTAATTAAAAAGATATTCAGAAGGCAGAGTAAATATGACTTGGTAAACATCCATTATGGATGTAAGTGGGCAGAGAGAGAGAGTAAAGGATAATGTCCAGGCTTCTGTCCAGCTTAATGGATGGGCTGGTGGTACTGCTTACTGGTATAGGGAACACAGAAGGAAGAGGCAGATTTTCTTTTTCTTTCTTTTTTGGCACTAGGAATTAAATCCAGGTTGCTTAACTACTGATGCACATCCCCAGCCCTTTTTAAAATGTTTTATTTTGAGACAGGGTCTTGCTAAGTCTTTAGGGCCTTGCTAAATTCCTGCGGTTGGTTTCGAACTTGCAATCCTCCTACCTCAGCCTTCCAAGTCACTGGGACTAAAGGAAGAGGTGCCTTTAAAGGGGAAAAAGGATAAAATCAGTTTTGAATATGAAAAGTCCCAAGTGTTTATAGCCCGTGTAAATGGAATTCACTAATGGTATATGGTAATTGTACCTACGGAGGTGGTTGAACAGACCCGAGGGAACTGGCAGAAGGAGAAGAGAAAAACATCTGGGGTCTTAGTATAATCAGTGAGGCAGGCAGAAGGGAGACTGGTTAAGATGGGTTCTAGGAAGTTGTGAAAAGGAAGTAGTGAAGAAAGGGAGGACATACACTCAGCACCTGGCACTGTGCAGGTGGGAGGAGGACCCCATTCTCAGTGGAAGACAGCAACAGGGAAGTCCCTGGTGACTCTGGTCAGAGCATCATCAGTAGAGTGGCAGGAACACAAGTCAGATTACCACTGAGGACTGGGAAGGTGGCAAGAGCTGAAGAGTGGTCGTAAGCAATAATCTCCAGATGTGGCTGTGAAAATAAGGAGCGCTAAAGCAGCACAGCTGGAAGGGGCTGGAGGCACAAAAGGAGGGTGTCTTTCCTGTCTTAAAACAGGAAATACTGTCTTCAGCTGTCTCTTTTATGTGAAATATTACTGGTTGATGCTTGAAGACTATTTTCTCACTATGTTTTCATCTCTTCAATCATCAGTTGAGTTATATACTAACTAAGGATGAAGTTAGGTACTAACTAAGGATGTATTAACTAATTAAATGTGTGAAAAATAGGGATCTGTTGTTTCTGGGATGGATAAAAAGTTTTAGAAATACTTTTAAAAATGTATTTACTGGGGCTGGGGTTGTGGCTCAGAAGTAGAGCACTCACCTAGCATGCATGAGGCATTGGGTTCGATCCCCAGCACCATATAAAAATAAAATAAAGGTATTGTGTTCACCTACAACTGAAAAATAATGTTAAAAAAATTTTTTTGGGGGGGGACTGGGATTGGGGCTCAGTCGTAGAGTACTTGCCTAGCACCTGTGAAGCACTGGGTTTGATCCTCAGCACCACATAAAAATAAAGGCATTGTGTTGTGTCCATCTACACCTAAAAAATAAACATTAAAAAATTTTTTAAATGTAGTTACAAAAAGTCAATTAAAAAAATTGCCATTATATCTGGGTGCAGTGGCACATGCCTGTAATACTAGCAGTTTGGGAGGCTGAGATAGGAGGATCATGAGTTGAAAGCCAGCCTCAGCAACGAGGTGCTAAGCAACTCAGTGAGACCCTGTCTCTAGATAAAATACAAAACAGGGTTGGGGATATGGCTCAGTGGTCAAGTGCCCCTGAGTTCAATCCCTGGTACCAAAAAACCAAACAAACAACAATAACAACAACAAAACAAACAAACAAAAAGCCCTTTGCCGTTGTAAAAAACTGGGAAAAACTCATGAAGACTCAGAAGGCTTCTCAACTCAGGTTACTTCTGTGCACCTTTAAAATTCTTGTTCTACACTTAAGAAATTGAACCTGGAAATTAAGGATGATGCATTTTAGGTGTAGTTTTTGCAAGGACAGTGAAATGTCAATTCAAGTCATGCATATGTAACAAAAAGACCTTGGTCTCAGATCAAAACATCCAGGAACATACACTTGTGTTTTAATTTTGAATATAATATTTAAGGAAATTATTTTTTCTATTATTCTACTTAAAACCATTTTTTCAACTAATTATTAAAAGATATATGGAGAGCCAAGATTCCCACAGAGGCAGGAAGAAATGGGATATAAAAATAGGCAGAGTCAGGCATGGTGGCATATGCCTATAATCCTAGAGACTTGGGAGGTTGAAGCAGGAGGATCATAAGTTTGAGGTAAGCCTGGACAATTTAGATACTGTCTCAAAAAAAAT